TGAGAGATATTTTTAATTTTAACCGCTGTAGAGCGCTTTATACTGTTTTTAGTTATGGCGGTGGATTCTTGTTAATAGGCTAAATATCAGTTTTGAATAATTATTTAAGGGTTGTAATGGTTTATAAGCACGGTTAGATATAGGTAACGATATTGTAGTATGCAAAGACTAATAACTAATTATAAATCTATTACAAACGATGGTTTTAATTTATCGTTTTAGACTTTTGTTTCTAATTTTTCGAGTAGCAGCTTATCTCAAATAGCAAAAATATTATCAAAATGTTTTCCAACATATTTTTTTAAGTGTGTTAAAAAAGATTTGGCACAAAATTTAATGTTTCGAAGATTTTATTTACAATATGTTTTAAAAATATTTCTTATATTAAAATAAAATTTTGTAGATAACATATTTAAAATATATTGCAAAAAGCGAAGAGTGTCTACACTTCAGGCAGATACATCAATACTTGGATATGTCCTGATAATTATATGATAATTTCCCATCTATATATCTCCTTGAGATATATGACGATAGTATAGTCTTAATTATATGTTCTGGCCAAACGTTTTTTTGGTAGTTTTATGATATCTGGCCTCATCGATTTACCGGCAACATTTATCAATATTTAAGATTCTTATAAATCAATTTCCGTGGTTCGACAGTAAGTAAGGGCCTACCTAATAAATTTATTTGACTATCCTTATATAAATCGTTATATCCTAATATATCCTTATATTATGGAGTACCTAATTTGGAATACCCAATTAGGTGTACCCAATTAGGAGTACCTAATTTAGAGTACCCAATTAGGTGTACTTAATTTGGAGTACCTGATTAAGAGTACTTTATCTCTTATCTCTTATATATAATCACTTACAACCGCTAAATCGCACCACACGCACAAATTTTCCTCGGTAATGTTCAACGTGATGCACGCACAGATTTTCGTATTGACCCACAGCCAATAGACATATACATGTCAAAATATTTAAAACATAGTTTAGGTTCTTTTAGCATCTATATTTTAGATCCACACGAAATTATTTTTAATTAGTTATTTTGTTACTTCGGAAAAATACACTTTACATTCATTATATGTATTCAATTATAGGATTTGTAAAATAATGTACAATAAGTGTGTACTTTCATATTGTTTAAATTTGTTTTATACTATTTTGTAAAATTAAACAAGTATTATACATAACGTTTAACATTTTTAATATTGAATAGAGTTTTTATAATTAAATAATTTAACGTGTATCATATTCACCAAACAATAAATCGTACATATTATCGGTTGAATAAACATTTTTCAAATTCACTCTCAATTATTATCTAAGTTTAATTTGTAACTTTGTATCATTATAAACAACCAGCGTTTCGTGTCTGCTCGGCAATTTTTCTTAGAATTGCACGGTATATACTACATTCTACAATAATTTAGATGAATAATGTTGACAGTTTTTATTGTAATACTATTCTATAAAGAATTTCTCCGAAATCCATCAAGTCTTATTTAAGTCTGACATTTTTGTCCTTTGTTAATTGGATTTTCTACTTACAATTGTTAAATTACTAAACATGATATGTCTAGTTGCTGCACCGTGATTTTTAGAAGAGGACAAAACTACAATAATATGTAAATATACATTGTATTTTTAATTTACACGGTCACTATGTTAAAATCTATTTAGGAGACAAAATCTCAATTGATTATTTGTAATAATTCAATTAAAAAAAACTATACAATTGTTAATACGTTTTGGATACAGACAACGCCCTTGTTAAAAATTCAGAATAGTTCCATAAATAATATTATGAAGTCTGAGCCATGGTTTGCCTCTATTGTGTAATAGTGGGAGGTAATCATAACATATTCCTCTGGTTTTTTGACTTACTAGATAATCAGAGTATTATGGTTTTTGGTTGTCCGTAATTTTAGGCGTAATTAAAAAGGGTTTACTTTTTAATTAATCTTATTTTGAAAACAATTATAATTAATTTAAATAACTGTACACCTGGAAGAGATTGTCGTATCTGGATAATATCGAGAGAGTCCTTCCTCTCCTACCCTGTGATGTTGCATAATTGACCATTTTTAGTCAACTGTTGCTCCATTATTTGTTGTATAATAAGTAAAAAATTATAAATAATAAATAAAAAGTCATTATTTTTTGTGAAAAATTAAAAATTAGTACACTTTTAGACTCAAAAGTATACACTAAATAAATTCTGTAGTTAGTACTAATATCCTAATACTCATAACACGAATTACTAGATTTTAATTTACAGTTCATGTTTAACAATTAATTAACGCCACAATTCACAAATAATGACATTATAATCATTGAAATTTTTAACACGTAAGTATTATAATTATGTACAAAAATACAACGCCAGTTTAAAATACAAATTACAATATGAGTATTAATTTTTTTAAATGCCACTATATTGAAAAAAAAAATAGCTCGGAAATTACTCTGGTGGGGTGTAAAGGCCACAAGCTTTTCACGCCATTCTTTAACGAGGAACTTCTCAAGTTAGTAATTTCCTATAGCTAAATAACATTCGTTGGCAACTGACTAATGAAATTTTGATTGTTTTCGTTTTGTATTTTCAGTAATGTATCAAATCTATGCTCAAATTGATATATATATAAATGACACGTAGTTGTGTCTTGTTAGGTTTAATGTCCTGAAATAAGGGCAATTATACGCTATCTTAATTTAAATTATTTTTCGGCACTAATAATTAATATATAAAATTCATATATATTTATATATATATGTTAATTTATTGTATTTCTTGTGATTTTATTTCATTTTGAACCTAATTTTTTAATATTAATTTTTTTAGAATTGAGTTAGCGTCTAAAAGTTTTTTCGCCTTTTATGATATCCGTCTTTGAAATATGCAGTTTTCTCTACTTTATTTTCTTTACCCAATCATAAATAAACCTATCTATGTACATAAAAAACGGTAGGGGGAGAATTGCATGAAAGGTAATTTTATAGGGTACACCGTATAATATAAAAAGTCATACGAAAAATGTCTACAAAAACACCGAAATAGACATTTTATGGGAAAAAGATAGGTACATTTGCATATTAGATGTTCTGAAAAAAATCATAAGACTTTGTAATGTTAATTCTGATCCAGTTTTAGGGTATTAGATTAATTAAAAAACAAAAAATATGGTTTAAGAGTAAACAATGTACTAAAGTTTTTTTTTTGTATGAAAATTACATTTTAAAGTGATATTGCGACAATCAAAGGAATTTTTCTTAAGAGGGCGTCGTACCGGTGAAACTTGTTAACGCAGATTGAGTAGAACTCGCTCGATTTTGGTTTTAAAGTAAAATAACCTATTATAAAATTCAAATAGGATAATAGTCCGCAAGGCATCATGATGCATTCTTAAAAAACAATTATTTTACAAACATATTTTTGTAAAAATAAAAAAAAAACATTGTTTCGTTTTAGATAAAAAATATCATTATAGCCATTTTGAAAATTAAGATTTTTTTTCTAAAATGTTAATGGGACGATAGCAAGTAATTGGAAAGTACTTTTGGGGTTATTAACGTTTTACAAATATCTACTTAAGATATTACGAACAAAAGATATTTTAGACGAAAAATAAATGTTGAACTATGAATTTCTCTAAGAGTTACTATAAAGATATCCTGTATATTTAATGAAATAAAAATAACTATATTAAGTGAACACTAATCTTGTCTGTTTTTAATTTAATTTGATGGTAACACAACATGGTGACAACAAAATAAAAAAAATATATTAACTTTTGTTCCTGACAAGATCAATATTAATGAAAAAATATCCTTTATATCTCGTTTTTATACGGGTGTTATTTTCGAAAAATGGAACATGAAATAGTTTGTACAGAAATGTCTACCGCCCAAGTATGTTATCCCTTTCAGCACTTGGGTATAGTTTTATGTGTGTAATTAAAATGTTTATTACGGACTTCATACTAATTTTGGTTTGTAACCAACTTTCTAGTGTAGGTAAACTGTTAAACCTTTAGAATTCTAAAGACACGAGTATTATTGTTCCTTAACTGTTACATACATTAAAAATATTTAGAAATTTTCGATATTGTCTTTCTAAATGGGACATGTCCAAAAGAAATAAAGTGATAATCTTGCCATGAAACCACTGCAAGTTCAAGTAGGTAAAAATAAAGACTGTAATATCTAGGGTAAAAATGTACATTTTGACTTTTAAACAAATACTATGTGTCAAACAACTTTATTCACTTGGTACTGAATGGGTTATGCGCGAAAGACAGGAAGCGCAACTCTTCTTGTTTAATTAAATTTATTATACCATAAAGAAGTTCACTACATGTAATTGCAACTACACACTGCACCAGTGGTGAAATAGGAGATGAACTATAAATATTCAATCAACAGTTAATAAAACGTAAGTATTTATGAAATTGATAACAAAAAAGACACTACTTGCCAATGTATTACTTACAGGTTGCATTAAAATCAAATTAATTTATAAGGTGAAACATGATGATAAGTTACAGACATTTGTGGAAAATAGATATATGAGAGACTTCTTCCTGGTTTCTTATGGAAGCGTATCTCTGTAATTTGGAAGGATAATAATCCGACAAAGTATATAATTAATATTACATAAATATTGTGGAAATATTTTGTTGGGTCTATTTTGAATAATTCTATAATTTGTTTCACGTTATCACATATTGTTTTTAGTAGTTTAATAATAATAATCATAATGAACTATCTGTTGACTTTTTTTTACTGTTCAATTTAGTATGATTCGGGTCTTAAGTACATATTTTAAAATTTGACTTTCTAACTTCGAAAGTCAACGTTTTTATAATTCTATTGCAAAATATTAACTTATAATTCGACCACCGTGTCCACAAGAGTTAATAATTGTAGGTTTCGAGAGTTTCAAAACACTATAGCACGTTTTGTGTTGTAAAGTACAGAACTCACCTTGTCGTTTGAACGGCGACCACCCTAGTGACGCGCTTAGGTGATTTTTATCCGTAGAATTTTATGATTTTTTCTGCTTTATTTTTTTTAATTGTTTTTTTTATTTTGAATTTAATATCGCGAACTTGCAAAAAACGGTCGGCGGTTGAAAACGTAAAAAATAAATAAAATCGAACGATAAGAAAAACTGTCAAAAAAAAAAACTCCTCTTCGTCCGGACAACCAAAAAAATGTCGTGACGAACGATAACCGGTAAAAGTGTTAAAAGCTATTTGCACACATTAATATTCACCCGTTGCCAGTCCACCGAGTACTGTCCGGATCAGCCCTTTCATCCGACGAGCGCTGCTGTTCGCACTAGATGTGTGCACTCACAGCGCTCACACTTGTTGCCGCCTGGCGTCGTCGCACCTTTGTTGCCGTATACGAGCGCCATCAACGTGACGGTGACGGTCTTACTCGGCCGGCCGGTTAGGTTCAAACGGTAAGGGAACTGTTCCTTAGGTGCAGTGAACATTTTAAGGGCATCGGTGGATTTAGAGTAACAGTTGAGCGTGATTCTAAATCCGTGACGTTTTATTATATTAAAATAAAATAAAAATTCCAATCTTCGGCACGCAGGCCGTTTGATTTCTCAGCTACATACCTTAACGCCTTAAGAGGGCGTCGCACCGCCCATTTTTAAGGAGTAAAGTATAGGCAATGTTTTACAATATCTTAATTTAAAGGTTAAACTGTGATGTGTAATTATTAGTTCAATAACCAGGACTCTCAAACGAATGAAAAATTGGAAAAGGTTTCGCAGATATATCTCTAGATTATATTATTAAATTATGTACTGTATTGAGAAAAAAAGAGCAAAGGAGTGTATTGTAAAAATGTTGTGATCAAAACGGTTGAATGTAACGGTTTATGTCTAGGTAGATTAAGTTTTCACAACTATAGATAAATTCAAGTGACCTAAACATAATTAGATCATTGCTAGGTGAGGATGAAAGAAAAGAAAAACATTATTATTAGAAAGTCGCTATTTTTTTTTAATGTTTGGTCTTTTGTAACAAAAAGATAACGAAATATAGAATATAAATATAAAAACCCATGCAGCACAAAAATTATATTTTTAAAATACAGTAAAAATGTTGTTAAAACTTCATAAACTGTTTATGACCGAATATTTTTAAGCATTTTCGCGGTACTAAGAGGGCGTCGCACAGCCCATTTTTAAGGAGTAAAGTATAGGCAATTTTTTACAAAATCTTAATTTAAAGGTTAAACTGTGATGTGTAATTATTAGTTCCATAACTAGGACCTCTATTTTGGTAGTTAATTTATTTTTTGGACTATCACAGCATCCTTGAAAGCGGTTTAAAAATGTTTTAACATCTCTACATGTTTAAGCAGACTGAAAATAACTCGCTTAATTTTGGATTTAGAGTAAAAGCACCCATTATAAAATTAAAAGAGAACAATATTCCGGAGGGCAAGAAGGTGCGTTTTTTCATTATTCCAAGCATAACCCTCAATACACAGTTTAGAAATAACGACTATTTTAACATTTTTAAATGATTGTAACTTTTCAAAAAATGATTTTTTTTAAAAAAACGTACCGTCTTGCCCTCCAAAATATTGTTTTCTTTCATTTTTATAATGGGTGCTTTTACTCTAAAAACAAAATTAAACGAGTTATTTTCAGTCTGCTTAAACATGTTTTTACCACTGAAAATCACCGGTGCGACGCCCTCTTAACGGAAAAAAATGGTAACGCCTCGTTCAGTTATCGGATTTAAGTATTTTTTTTTCTTTTACTCGAAGGTGAATCCTATTGACCGCATTAGACATTTAATTTTTAATAATTTATTTTTTATGCATCACAAATTACAATATAAGTTTGAATTTTACAAAATTTGTTAAGATACAGTCATTTCATATTTTATAATTATTTAAACATATATCGCTAAACATGAGATTTTTAAGTATTAATGCGGGCTCGATTACAAGAATACTACCGATAAGACACAACTTACAAGAATATTCTTAACAATACTAAAGTACATATTATAATAACAACAACAAAATCTTAGTAATTTCTGTGAAAACTATTTGTCAGGTTTATAGGAGGAACAATGGGTTCCTAGTCGTATTTACTTATCTACTATTTTGATATAAATATTGCCTGCCTATACTTGTGATTGATCTATACTGAGTAAACTATCATTTTGATGATTCACAATCGCGAAAAGCAGTTAACGCAGTATTTTTTTCTACAGTGGCTTTGCTAACGTTTTATTTTTGTTTACAAGACAGTATTGCTCGTCATTTTATTTTCACATTAATCAAGTCCTAATGTTAGATATTATACAAATAGTTACAGTCCACTTAAAGCCTAACAGCGAATTAGTGATAATTCTGATGATCTATAATCTCCTTGCGATTTATGACGATAGTATAGTGTTAATTATATTATGTTCTGGTCAAAACGATTGCATGACGACGACGACGACTCGTTATTATGTCGATGGCATCTTATATATTATTATATGTTACACAGTGTATATAACACTGCATATGTTACATTTAATTTAGTAAATAAACACATAGAAAAAGTTGAAATGAAAAGAATTAAATTCAATAATATCACAGGAGTACAAGAATTGTTCGACATTATTGGTTACAAAAAAATATAGAAAATATTTCTTTGAATACAAAAAATGGAATTATGTGATTGTAGTATGTACCTACAACCCACAAGAAAGTTTTGTCCTTAATATGGAAGTACACTCTTTAAAATATTATCATCGAATTTCAAGAACAATTTGAAATAAATATTTTTTTTAAGATTTCACAGGAAGCTATTCTTGTTATTATCATAACTCCTGTTAGGATACCGAATGTATCAAATGATACAGGATAGCGTAGCTGTAGTGGTGTACGCTTCGCCTTCCGGTTACTCGTAAGTAGTATACTTGCTCAAAGTTAAGAAAAACTTTGAAAAACACAGAAATCGCCAAAAAACATGGTCTACCAATTTGACCGCACGCGAACCGGCATCTGATCGGTAATTGCGAGAGGGTTATGACTATATTTTTTCCTGACCCAATTTCTATAGTGCCAGAGACCAAGGCAATCGCCAAAGTATTTTTTTATGCTTTATTAAAAAGTTATTTTTACCTGCAACCTGTAACGAAAACACACCATAAAAATGATACTATTAATTTATGGTCAAGTGGCATGATTGTAAACAAACATAAATTATATTTTTGAAATACAATTATTGACAATTTGTAATTTTTACCTTTTAATTATAAAATATTTGAATAATATGAATAGTTTGGGCATCCGTATCTCTTTATATACAACAAAGTACAACAGAGATAAAACACGGCCAATTTAGTACCTTTCACAATGAATAAAATGATTAGCTCCAGAATGTTTTCATGGAAAACTAAAAAAAAAGCTATACATTTATTACTTCGGATCAATTTTCATGGATGTCATATTGTCAACAATAAAAAGCGACGAATAAAAAAAAAAAGTATTAATATTTGTAAAGAAAGTACTAAGAAAAATGTATGGACCAATAAGGAATGCAACTACAGGAAATTATGAAATCGAGAAAAATGCAGATTTGGAGCAGTTGTAAACCAAATAATAAAAATATCTTGTACGCCGATTGATTGGAATGGATCGGATATTTGTGTCAAGCTGGAGGAGGACTAATAACAAGTGTGACGAACAAAAACTTCCAAAAACGACCACAGTCAAACCGCGACAACGTAGGTTGGATAGAGTGAAGTAAGATATCTGAGCTGTTAATAAATCAGTCTGATTGGACGATTTGCTAAAAAATAATTAAATCCTATTAGATGGAGAAGTTTAGAGGAAGCTGCTAAGAGCCTTAAAGACTTGTTATTGTAATTTGAACACAATTCTGAATAATATTGTATTTACAAAACACTATCAACGGTTAAAAAATACTTTCTTTATGACTTCTTAGCTAAAATAACCGTTATTTATCGCAAATAAATAATATTAATGTTGAAGGTGTAGGAAAAGAACATTTATCTTCCGCTAAATTATAATACTCGTGCGCGTCGTTTATAAATAATGGTTGATTTTTGTCATTCATATACATTTGGTATTATAAAATTATAATCAATATAATAATGGAACGTCTCAAAAAAATCACTAATAAAAACTTATTTTATAACAATGTTATCATGATGTCGGCAATCAAATGTTTCAAATTTTAGTTAAAAATGTTTAATTGTAAAATATTTATACATTAAAAAATTAAATATACATAAAAGTTATGGTAATTTTTTTTTAAAATTGTATTTATATTATTTTATAGTTTACTCTATTGGATTACAAATATATGTCTTATAACCTAGTTAAAAATGTGCTATCATTAAAAAACAAAACAGACAATTTTAATATATATATTTAATGAATTATGGTACATGATACGTGTTAAATTTATGATGTTTGTTTAATTATTATTATCTATGATTTCTATATTTAAAAAAACATAATTTAAATCGAAGTTTTATAAATATTTTTAATATTAAAACTGTTTGTATTTGCACAAAAAAAAACAGGTCCTTAGTTAATATTTGTTGTGTGTATGGAATGGTTATTTTCATTTTTTCTTGCGTTTAAATTGAATCGTGCCAAAGCCGGAAATTTTATGGTTGAGTAAATATAAAACGGCAAAATGCGTTTACTTTTGCTCTATAAAAAAAAAAAAAAAATACATCATTCGGTCGTTTTAACTATGCCACCACCAGTCAGTTTTCGTTTGTCCTGGTGAAGTTGACAGCATTGAAATACACATATTTCCAGAGACGTATTTACATTTTTGGTGCCCTGGGGCACTGTTTATTTAGAGCCCTCGCATAAAAACAAATGCGACCTAAGAGATGGTGTAGTTTTTTTAAAAAAGGTTGTATTTTGAATACAAGTGTATATATTTACTTAACCTAAAATATAATGAATAATGACAATGAATATAAATAAAACGAAAATTAAAATGTAATATAAATATATTAACATTTAATTCTAACAAATTAAAACTTATAGTAAATTAATAACTTAAAATATTTTAACAAAATTACATTTTCTGGGCCGAATTTTACTTTGTAAATAAACAAATAATCTCATCTAAGTTTATATCCATGGTTATTTCAGATTCAATAGAGAGAACTGATAAACTACTCAGACGGTTATCAGTCATTCATTATCTTAAATAAGATATAGCTCACTGCAGTGTAGAAAAAAATCTCTCGGCTGAACAA